AGTGGACTGACATCTTTCATTCAGCATAATTTTGAGAAGTAGTTTATGAATAGTATTCCATTGTGGATAAGGCAGAATGTATTAATCTGTTGGTGTGTGCAGTTGCGTTGTTGGCAGGTTTTGGTGATTACAAATAAAGCATCTGTGAGTATATACTGAACATGTGCTTTCATTTTTCTTGGTCAAACATCTAGGAATATATTGGCTGAATTTTATCATAGGTATGGTTTGCCCACTTTTAGAAAAATTGTCAGAGTGTTTTATAAAATAGCTTTGTGTTGTGTTTTGTTTTGGTACATCCCCCCCAGGAGTGTATGAGAATTTCAGTTGTCCAAGCCTGGGCCATCACTTGGTCCGAACAGTCTTTAAAATTCCTAGCATCTGGTGAACATGCAGGGTAGTTTTCACTTGCTCCTCAGCTTATCTACTAAGTTTTTTATTTTAATCAAAATATGAAAACTAATTTTTAAAATACCATTCTTTCACCTTCTAGTTTATATTTTCATTATATTTACACTTCTCCTCTCCCTGCTGTATTTGCTGTTATGACCCAGTTTTTTCAGGTGTTAGTTACTTTCCTTGTTGAATTTGATACTTCACTGGATTAGTTTTTTTCCTCACATATTTTGTAATTATTGGTTCTGTGGTCCTCCTAGGTGTTTTACCAATCCATCTAGGACAAGCATGTCAAACTCAAAGACTAACACGGGCCAAATAAACAAGGTTTAAGTTTATGTGGGCCGCAAAAAAAGCAAAAGCTTCACTTTTTATAGAAACGTAGGTTTATTTCGATAGAGACATGCTGGATACAAAGGGCTGAAATAAATGAATAATTGTTAACATAATAGAACATTTTAATAAAAATTAATATTTTTTTCTTGCCCTAGCCTGTTTGGCTCAGTGGATACGGACTGAAGGGTCTCAGGTTCAATTCCAGCCAAAGGCACGTACCCGGGTTGCAGGCTCAATCCCCTGTGTGGGACATTCAGGAGGCAGCCAACCAGTGATTCTCTCTCATCATTGATGTTTCTATCTCTCTCTCCCTCTCCCTTCCTCTCTGAAATCAATAAAAATATGTTTAAAAAAATTAATATTTTTTCTTGAACATTAACTTATCAGACACTGAATAACTGCACAAATTAATAACTGTAATGCAAATAAACCTATTTTTCTTGTACTCTGAAAGCGAAACATTTCCTGTTGTGCACACAAAACAAGTCAGTACAAGACTAATGACGTGGCAATTGGCTGCTAAAATATAGTTAGCTGTTAGTGGGCCGCAAAAAAAGCAAAAGCTTCACTTTTTATATTAGTATTAGTGGAGAGAAATGGTGCACCTGCATGTAAGGCGCATAAGGGAAATGAATGCAACACGATTATAGTAATCAGTCATTAGCGAACGTTTTAGTTGGTTATTAATAATTATGTATAACAGGATATTGTAAAAATGAAGTTACGAAATTTTTATTAAAACGTTTATTACATGCCATTGTATTGGCTGGGCTGCAAAAATATTCATTGTGGGCCGCGAGTTTGACATGCTTGATCTAGGACATTGCTCACTTTTTAAGCCTAAGACCTTTGTTCCCTGCTCCCACTTCAGAGTAGATGTTGCTGCTACTATTCCTAGTTGCTTGGCACCAGAGAGCATGTATGTTTGGAGGAAGGAGCACAGTTTACTCACCTGGCTGCTCCTGCTGTGGAGTCATCTGGTCATGTAGCTTTTGATACAGAGCTTCCTCTGTTCTTCTTTATTTATTTTTTAATCATATAATTGCTTTCCATTTATTTTTTATTGAATTTAATTAAAATTTTAAAATTACAGTTTACATTCAATATTATTTTGTATTAGGTGTACAGCTCCTGTTCTCCATCTTTGGTGAGCCAACGCGCTTATTCCTGGGAGGCCTTCCCTGGTGAACTCCCTTTCCTTACTATGGACAGTTAATTCTTTCTGAGGTTTTTTACTCCCTAACACTTGATATCTGTTATTCTTGGTTTACATGTCTATCACAATATGATAGCTGAACTCTTGAAGGGAAGGAACAGTTTTATTCTATGCAAATCTCTATCACCTTGAGTAACACAGATTGCTTGAATGATACATTTTTCAGAGAATAGGAGTTTTTATTACAAAAAAGTAACAACCTGAGGATTCCAGGGAGAGCAGGCCAAGTAGGATACCACATAGAGAGCCAGGGGTCTGGGTGTTTCTCTTACTGGTAGGTTACTCTTGGGCAGGTTATTTAATCTTGTTTAATCTTTTTATGCCGCCATCATTTTATTTTAGTAAATATATAAAATTTGAGTGCATGTGTGTGTATATATTATTAAAATAATACATGCTCATTAGTTTTTCTGGGGGGTGTGTGTGTTTATATTTTTATTGATTTCAGAGAGGAAGGGAGGAGAGATAGAAACATCAATGATGAGAGAGAATCATTGATGGGCTGCCTTCTGCACGCCCCTACTGGGGATCGAGCCCACAACCCAAGCATGTGCTGTTGACTGGAATTGAACCAGGGACCCTTTAGTCCACAGGCCGACGCTCTCTATCCACTAAGCCAAAATGGCTAGGGCCATGCTCATTAGTTTTAAGAAAACATAGGTGCAAGTCTTCGTGACTTTGAATTCGGCAATGGTGTCTTTGATGTGACACCAAAAGCACAAGCAACCAAAGAATAAGTGGATAAATTGGACTTTAAAGGACATTGTCATGAAAGTGGAAAGACAATCCACAGAAAGGGAGAAAATAATTGTACATCCTATATCTGACAAGAGGCTTGTATCTATAATATGTAAAGAAATCTTAGAACTCAAGTAAGCAAACAACCCAAATTAAAAATGGGCCAAAGATCTGAATAGACAATTATTCAAAGAAGATAGAAATAGCCAATAAGATCATGAAAAGATACTCAATATCACCTGCTATTGGAGAAATGCAGATCACACCCATTAGGATGGTTGTATAAACAGACAGTATGAAGTGTTGGTGAGGTTATAGAGAAGTTGGAACCCTGCTGGTGGGAATGTAAAATGGTTCAGCTGCTTTGAAAAACAGTCTGGCACTTACTCAAAAGACTACACATAGTTACCTAGCAATTCCACTCATAGGTGAATAGAATGTTCTCAAAACCATGTTTATAAATTTTATTTACAGTATTTTTCCTGGAAGTTTAAAATCAAGTTTTGAAAATGGTACGATAAAAAAATATTTGAGATGACTTAAAAATGGTGCTAAATAATTATACTCATCACTTTTGTTTGGAACGTCTCCAGTTTAAATATCCACTGCATTAGTTGACAAACTACTATATCCTCAATCTGTTTTTGTATGAGATTTTATTGAAGCACAGCCCACACTTGTTAAATTTCTATATTTGTCCACTCTGGACTGCAATGTGGAGGATTTTATCGGTGGCTCCAACAAACATCTAGATCTGAAAGACTCATTTCTCTCCTCTGTGTCTTAAACTAGCCTTTGGGCTTTGTATGTGTTTCTTTTCCTTCTGTACTTCGCTGATCACTTCATTGAGATTGGTCTTCCCTTTTTTTTTTTTTCTACAACAGGATTGCTGCATGTGGTAGGGAAGTGATGCTGTCTGAAGGTGACATGTTCTTCTCCTTTCTTCCTTCTGTCCTCTCGCTCCCTATTTTGGCCTCCTGGTAATTGGGGCAGGGTGGGATGGGAGAATGCTAATCTAAATTAAAATGCAAGTATGTTAACTATTTCACCATTACTTGAAAAGGGAGGGAAAGGGAGACAGTTTCCTGGCCTGCAGAAATAAAAGTTACCTAGCTTTTGCCACAATCTGCTTTGAGGTCATGGGGTCTTTTGAGAATCAGAAGAATGTTTAGGCTGCTGGGGAGGGGGGGGGTGGTATTTAGAAATATGTTATTACAGAAGACTTCAGAAGCACTGAAGTTAATCCTTGCTGGAGAGTGGGGGTGAGGAAGTCCATAGATTCCAGGTTAGGAACCCCTGCTCTAGCCCCTCTGCTATAATAGAGTGAGAAAACAAAAAAGTAGGTTATTAAGAGTGGGAAATAAAGCTGATGTTAATCAACTGTGTGGAATTAAGTGTTCTTCACTATTGCTATACCTGAAGCTTTGTTCAATATTTTTTGATCAATTTTTAAATGTTTATAAATGTGTGACTTTAATATTATAATATGTAATTCTGATGGTGACCACATCTGATGTTAGAACCTCAAATATAGACATTTGAGAGAAATAATTATTTTTAGATGTTCTCAAAACAAATCACTGGTTTAGGATAGATCTATCATAGTGCTTTCAGATTGTGAAGGAAAACAGATTAAGCCCTTGATGTGGAGCCTTGCATCTGCTCTCTCTCGCTTGTGCCCAGCAGTAGAGTAGTGACGTCCCATTGGTTGGGGTGCTTGTTTCTGGCCTTGTCCTCTTCAGTTTTGCATGAGCCTTCCATTCAACCAGTGTTTCCTAAACTTCATTCATTGAGATACCGTCTCCATGATTTGCCTTCCTACACATTTCCTGGCTATTCTTTTAAATCACTTTTCAACACTTAAATTTATGCAAATAATTATTGTGTGAAATGTGGGTTGATGTACTAATTCTTTTCTGTTTGCCACTTACTGGAACATGTACAGATTGGGTTTGTCCCACCTAAAATCATCTTTTATCGTTCTGGAAGGCATCAAGTTCCAGTTTGGGAAACATTCCCCTTTGTGCTGGAATTTAAAGCTCTGACCTTGAACTAGAGAATGCTCTGTAGAAGCTACTTGTACTTGGATGTATTAGCGGAGAGGAGGGGGTCACAGGATGGGTGGGTGCTACCTGCTGAAACACTCCTTGCTTGGGCAAATTCATATTCTGAATATGGAGACATTTTGGCTGTGTGCATGGCAAGCTTGGAATCCTGACTTTGCCGTGGTTGGCTTGGTGTTTTAGTCTGGACACATGCACACACAATTATGTGTGTATCTCCAAAATTTCATAAGTTTTATTTTCTTTTACAGGTTTGATCTTGCTCTTCTACCTAGTCTTTTATGGGTTCCTGGCTGCACTCTTCACATTCACAATGTGGGTTATGCTTCAGACTCTGAATGATGAAGTTCCAAAATATCGAGACCAGATTTCTAGTCCAGGTAATGAACTTGCACTTGTTGTGGCTTTTATCTCTATCAAATGTTTTACATAGCAGATAAGATAGTTTAACCTTGGCCTTAGGTAATGAGAACGTTTGATTTTTGTTTGTTGTATAATATTTACATACGGATACAAAGACCTTTAATATTTACATACTGATACAAAGACCTGGGCTGATAAATTTTGCATCCTTTGCCAGAGTAAGCAGAAATAAATATTGAGAATTAGAGTGAAGCCAAACTTGACTGATGTAATTTTAAGTATGAATGGCCTTTATGAATATGTGTGGCAGTTGCACTTTGTCCTGAGTTAATTTACTTAATAAAGTATATATTTTGGCTCCAACTCAGGTCAGAGCCTTGGTCTTATAAAATACATGCTTCATGGTTTTAATTGCTTAGTGTGGAAGTGGTAAATATTAAATAATGATACATCAATGGAGAACAAAATGATTCTACTTTATTAATAATCTTAAGAGGGGGGAAAACTCCAGGATACTTTAGTACAGAAAAAATCTTAACTGAAACATTGTTTAAATCATGTTGTCTTCCTGTGGTTTTTTTTGGTTATTTTTAAACCCTCTTTTTCTTCCTTTTTTTTTTTTTTTTTTTTTTGATTGATTTTAGAGAGAAGTGAGGGAGAAAGAATGGTTTGTTGTTCCTCTTATTTATGCATTCATTGGTTGATCCTTTTTAAAAATATAAATTTTATTGATTTCAGAGAGGAGGGAAGAGGGAGAAAGAGATAGAAGCATTAATAATGAGAGAATAATTGATTGGCTGCCTTCTTCGTGCCCGACACTGGGAATCAGACCCAGTCCTGGTTCATGGGTCAATGCTCACACTGGCTGGGCATCATTTTTTTTGTTTGTTTGTTTTTTTAATTTTTAAATTGATTCTTGGAGAGAGAGGAAGGGAGAGGGAGAAACATTGATCTGCTGCCTCCTGCACACCCCCCACCAACAATCTAGTCTATAACCTAGACATGTGCCCTGACCGGGATGTTGCAACCAGCAACCTTTTAGTGCAAGGGATGTTGCCCAGACAATTGAGCCACACTGGCCAGGGCAGGGCATTGGTTGATCCTTGTATGTGCCATGACCAGGGATCCAATCTGCAACCTTGGTGTGTCGGAACAACACTCTAACCAACTGAGCTACCTGGCTAGGGCTGAAACAGTCTTTGAATGCCGGCTCTGCCTTTCTTGGATATGGCCCTTGTCTTCAAGGTGCTGGCAATTTTTATAGAAAATACTAATGTGCCAGAATCCCAATGTATCTTCCCTAAAATGTGAACAACTTGTAGAGACAGTAGAGATGGAAGATTCTAATGGAGGAGTGGGATCTGGATGGCAGGCAGGCCCGGGAACGTGAGGATCTAGCTGGAGGTTTCTGTGTTGGAGCAGTGGTTCTCTTCCAGCAGGCATTTGCCCTCCAGGGGCCATTCGTCAATGTATGGAGACATTTTTGTTTGTCACATCAGAGTGGTCCCGCTTTGAGTAGAGGTCAGGCATGTTGCTAAATAAACATCCTACAATGCACAGGACCACCCACCACAACAAAAAATTACCCAGTTAGCATGTTAGTAGTGCCAAGACAGGAGCCCAGATCTAGATCCTCTCTGACTGCATGGATTCTGAGCCATGTCAGCAGCCATACTGAACCAATTTCCCCAACTATTTTTTCTTCAATTTATTCTAATGGCTTTTCCTTTGTTTGCAGCTGGTATTTGTTAAAACATCATAAATAACTCTTAACCCTTTCAGTTTACTTGACTGAGTATCAGATGAGCTCCATGCTAAAATTTTTCCTCATCTCTCATTGTAGCTGTTTTCTTTAAACCTAGACTAATTCTAAGATAATTATTATTTTTTGGCTAAAGTTAATTACCATTGAATACAATCTGATCTGTTTCAGAAATATTAAACTCTGTTTATAATTGCATGAATAATATAAGCAGTAAAATATGTTTAATATAGTTTAAGTACACAGTTTTAAACTGAGTTTCTTAAAACTATTTACCAAGAGTACTTAATGTATCATTACAGTAAGTAAGTAAATAAATAAATAAATAAATGTATGTATGTATATGCACGCGCATTCATATGTATGTGTAATATTAGGTGGATATCCATTAATTTGCTAAACATGATTTTCTCTTCATAAAGGGATTATGGGCAATTTTTGTTTTTCTTCTACTTGTATTTTCTAAGTTGTGTGGTGGTGTGTTTTTTTAAACCATGACCATCATTTCAATGTCAATGTGTTTGTACCCAGTAAAACGCTAATTTCAAATTGGTGTGCATGTTTGTTACCACGTACTGCCTAGCCACACCCTTATAGACATGCACACATTCATATCCCAGTGGTGTATATTGGAAAGAGAGAAGAGTTATTATAGACCTCACATTCTATTGTTCTTGGTTTGGGGTAAACTAAGATCTTTATTTGGAGTTTACTATGTCAAAAACACAGCTGTAGTGCACTCTCCTGCTGTGGATTCTTTACTTAAGAATTTCAGATGGGTTGTTAAATAGCAGGAACTAGGACTCTGAGAGCATTGCTAGGCAATTTCAGAAGTAGCTGGTATCAGAAATTCAGTTTTAGATGTTCATACAGAGTTTTTGTAAGTTGAATTATTTTTTAAAATTCTCTTAGAAATTAGTCATGTAAAATAATGCAGTTTTAAAATAGCATAGATATCTTCATGTTTTACTTTAAAATTAATTTAGAAATCTGCATGTTTTATTTTGGGGTTTTCTTAAAAGTTAAGTGTTTTAAAATTTTTTTGGGTTTTTTATTGTTCATCTTCACCCAAGGATATTTTTGCCATTGATTTTCAGAGAGCATAGAAGAGAGGGAAGGAGGGGGTTAGAGAGAGAGACCCATCACTTGTTTGCTTCCAGAACTTGCCCCAACTGGGGGCCAGGGAACAAACCTGCAACCCAGGTACATGCCTTCCCTTGACTGGGAATTGAACCTGAGACCCTTAGGTTTGCAGGCTGATGCTCTAACCATTAAGCCACAGCAGCCAGGGCAAAAGTTAGGTGTTTTTATAGTTACATGCAAGCTGTGTTTTACTTACAGTATAGTATGTCTCATTCCTGCTATAAAACCTTAAGAAAAACAAACTATCCGACATACACAGGTTGTCCTCTCCTACATTGGATGGTCAGAGGTTTTATTTCTACTGTCGACCTAAGAAACATCCAAACCTGTAGAGAATTTTAGTAAGAGTTTCTTTTAGCCCAAACTGATGGGATTGCTGGGAAGCAAGATCTCAGATGCTCCCCAGAATGATAGTTTGCAGTTTAAGGAGGGAATGTAAGGAAGATTACAAGAAGGGGAGAGAAAGCAAGGCTCCGGGGATTGGATTACAGGATAGTTAACAAAATTTTTAACAAAATTATTTGTTTTCTTGAGGATGGTTACCCTATAGAGCAGTGGTTCTCAACCTGTGGGTTGCGACCCCTTTGGCAGTCGAACGACCCTTTCACAGGGGGTCGCCTAAGACCACCCTGCATATCAGATGTTTACATTACGATTCGTAACAGTAGCAACATTACAGTTATGAAGTAGCAATGAAAATAATTTTATGGTTGGGTCACAACATGAGGAACTGTATTTAAAGGGCCAGAAGGTTGAGAACCATTGCTCTAGAGGCATTTGAAAGGTGTGTTAACTAGGTGCACAGAAACAGTGGACAGGGCTTGCGATATAATGCTTTTTAAATGAGGAAAGCTTAAAGTTAGAAGCTTGATTATATTGCTTACAGATAAATATGCTTACATTTTCTGTTAATAAACTCATGCAACATGTTCTATACACATGGATGGACTCCTGATAAATTGTTGGTGTTTCTACTCCAAGTTCAGTATGAGAAACAACATTTTATAGAGAGCAATGTTTATTATTAAAGGAAGAATATTTAACCCTAGAGTTAAAATTATATAGGCCTCTTTTACTGAATAAGGTAAGTTTTCTTTATGAATGTTCCCATGCAGCTGTAATTTGAATGACAAAAGTGTTTAGATTTAATTTGCTAAAAATTTTCTCCATATATTAATAACAAGTGGGCAAAACCTAAAAACATTTGATAGAAAAATGAATATAGAAAGTACAAAGTAAAACTTGCATCTTTTAAGGAACAGAGCAATTGTAATTAACTGTAGCCAATCAGATTTAGGGAGGTATCTAGTTGGTCGGAGGTGACTTTGAGGATTTGGAATTCTCTTCATTACAGATGTTGACCTTCCTAGTCAGAAGTGGGAGGTTCTTGATAGTTTCAACCTACCTGCGAACACAAATTTCCATGTACTTTACTGAGATCTGTCCTTTTAGGGGTAAGAGGAGAGAAGGAATTTCTGCAGTTAATTTACCCCTTTCTCTTTTATCTCTTTATAGGACTTACGGTTTTTCCAAAACCAGTGACAGCGTTGGAATATTCATTTAGTGTGTCTGAACCAGAGTCCTATAAAGGGTATATTGAAGACCTTAAGAAGTTTCTAACGCGTAAGTGTGTTTTCTTAGAGTGAGGTAAAAGTGTTTAGTGATTATGGAAACATACAAAATTATGATTACATTGAGAAAATTATTCTTAGAGTTTATTTTGCTTTTTTTTGGTCTGTCAAACAGTCAACTAAGGACTTGTAAGTAGATTTCATGATTAGTCATGATATTCTAATATTCTAACTTATGGAAAGACATAAGGGTCTAAGCCAAACAAGCGGTTGCTTTTAATTTTTTTTTATCCTATAAGAAGTATGTGAGTAAGTTCATTGAGACATAACATTTATATCTGCATTAATATGGAAAGTATTTGAGTAGTAGAGCAAAGCTATCTTATATAAAATAATGCCTCTAAGTATTTGGATCTTTTGCATCCAATGTTGTGCTTGTGTGGGGGACTAGGAATGTTGCTTATTATTAAAAAAAGAAAGAAAGAAAAGAAATCTATGTATCAGTTTTGAGTTTTTTGGAGTTAACCAGTTGTAAATCTTTCCCGCCCTGGCCCAGTTTTTTTCTTACTGTTTGCTTGTCCTAATTTCATGGTATTAACATTCACATGAATAATCATCAAATGCCCTGGCCTCTTGTTTCTTGATTGCCTCACCTCTTCCTTGGCTGCACACTTACAGGCACTCCTTAAGCATATAGGACTCCATTGCCAAAATCACTGTGAGGCTTTCCTACCACAACCTCTGTTCTTCTAGTTTGCTTATTTAACTTTCCCTCACTATTCTTCTGCCTCATTTGGGACTTTCAAGCCCTTTTATCCCAGCCAATCCCCCTATTTCCCTTTTATCAAGCTTAGTTCCATGGTTTTTTACTCTTGCCATTACTCTAAAACCTCTTGTCTCTCTCAATCTATTGGTCATAAATTGCAAATGGATGAAGCTCTTCCTTAGAGCCTGCCCCCCTGAGCCACCAGGTGCTGCTGAAGAATATTTTCTTTTTTTAAGATAGGTTTTTATTATTTCAGAGAGAGGGAGAAAGGGATGGAAACATCAATAATGGAGAGAATCATTGATCGGCTACCTTCTGCATGCCCCCTACTAGAGATCAAGCCCACAACCTGGGCATGTGCCCTGACCAGGAATCAAACCATGACCTGGTCAACACACTGAGCCACAAGGGCAGGGCTGAAGATTTTCAGCAGGACTAATTAGCACTGGAATACTTGGTCACCTTCTTGGACTTGCTCTGCTACTTGGCAGGGCTATAGAATTTCTCTGAATAATTATTTACAACCTCTACTTTCCTGCCTTTTCCCTTAGAACTCATAACAATGGTTCAGTCAATGACTGCATTTACCATGGTGGTCTCATAAGATTGTAATGGAGCCGAAAATTTCCTATTGCCTAGTGACACAGTAGCCATCATAAGGCCGTAGGGCAACACATTATACAAATACTATTGTGTTACAGTTGCCAACAGTATTCAGTACAGCAATGTGCTGTGCAAATATGTAGCCAGGAGCTATAGAGGAACTGAATTTGTCACCCCAAAATGTCTCTGGCATAGGATTACTTTAGGCTGGTTAATTTTGAGAAACAGCAGCCATGGGAGCAGCTCTGCAAACCAACTAGAAGTGGCCCTTAGTAAAAGACCTTTACATTTGTATAGATGATCCCCATTTGTAAGGGGGTTGACCTTATCTCTGGGCACTCTCATCGATGCAGAAGACAGAGATGCAGACCTGCGCAACAACCTTACCCTTGTTTACGGTGCTTTTCCAGGGGACCTCCCATATCTGACACCCCCAAGCCCAGCATCTTCTTTGTCTTCAACTGATGATGGCATTTAAGGTGGTAGCTTCAGGCTATTTTGACAAGTTGCTCAGTTTTCGTGGGTCTTTCCATGTATATAGGAGATTACATGTTTTTAACCTTGTTTGTTTTTCTCCTGTTCATCTGTCTTTTATTATAGGGATGTTTCAGCCAAGAACCCAGAAGACCAGGACAAATCGTTTTTTTCTCCCCTACAGAGCAATAGGCTATGCCCTCTAGCCTAGGTGTGTAGTAGACTGTACCATCCAAGTTTGTATAAGTGAACTCTATGATGTTTGCACAGTGGTGAACTCACCTAAGGCAACATTCTCAGAACAGACCCCCATCATTAAGTGGCACATGGTAGAATAACATATTCCTGCTTTAAGAGAAAATTGAGGGTCAGATAGGAATTCCCCTCAGTTTCCCCATTATTAGTAAAACAAACTGACAGTTGTAGCCATTTTGTCTGGTATTCCTCCTCCTCTGATGAGGAAGCTGCCTTTCACCTGTACCAGCCAGGCCTTGGATCTCATCCCTCTCACTGTCTCAGAAATATGCTACTTACAGTCCTTTTGTACATTTAGCCTCATTGATCTTTCCTGTCAGCATGCAAAAGCCCTCAACTCTTATTTTAAATCAAAATCCTCTCTTGAATCCCACATCTTCCATTAGCTATCTTCCTAAGTCTCTTTCCTTTTATAATTAAACTAGAGGCCTGGTGCATTTGTGCACTCGCGGGGGGGAGGGGTCCCTCAGCCCGGCCTGTGCCCTCTCGAAGTCTGGGACCCCTCAGGGGATGACTACTTGCTGGCTTAGGCCTGCTCCCCGGGGGGATTGGGCCTAAGATGGCAATCAGACATCCCTCTGGCAGCCCGGCAGCCCTCGGGGGATGTCCACTTGCCAGCGGGGAGCAGGCCTAAACCAGTCGGACATCCTTAGCGCTGCTGAGGAGGCAAGAGAGGCTCCCACCACCACCACTGCTGTACTGGCAGCCGTCAGCCTGGCTTGTGGCTGAGCAGAGCTCCCCATGTGAAAGCGCCCTAACCACCAGAGGGCAGCTCCTGCATTGAGCATCTGCCCCCTGGTGGTCAGTGTGTGTCATAGTGACCAGTCATTCCTAGTCTTTCTGCTGGTAGGGTCAGTTTGCATATTACCCTTTTACTATAGAGGAAAGAGGCCTGGTGCACGGGTGGGGGCCGGCTGGTTTGCCCTGAAGGGTGTCCCGGATCAGGGTGGGGGTCCCGCTGGGGTGCCTGGCCAGCCTGGGTGAGGGGCTGATAACTGTTTTCAGGCTGCCCACACCCCCTTCAGGGTGGGGGTCCCCACTGGGGTGCCTGGCCAGCCTGGATGAGGGGCTGAGGGCTGTTTTCAGGCAGGCCAAGCCTCCAACTGAAGCTCCCAGTCTCTCCTTTTTTTTTTTTTTAAAAAAATTCTGGGATTTATTTGCCTTCTGTAATTGAAACTTTGTTGCGGCTCCAGCTCCAAGGCCAGCTGGCTGAAATCTGGTATCTGGGGTTTGTTTAGCTTCTATAATTGCAACAGTGTTGCATCTGGAGCTCAGAGCTGGGCTGCGGCAGGTGGGGAATCTTGGCTTCCTCCATCGGCCGGGGCAACCAAACCTCATGTTCGCTTGAGCTGTTGGCTGCTGGCCGCCATCTTTGTTGGCAGTTAATTTGCATATCCTGCTGATTAGCCAATGGGAAGCATAGCAGAGGTATGGTTAATTACCATGTTTGTCTATTATTAGATAGGATATATACTTATTTTTTGTGAGATATGACCATGGTTTAAAAACCCAATAATAAAGAAAGGTCTGTAATAAAAACAGTAGTTTCCTGCTACACCTTTCTAGCTGCAGTTCTGTTCATTCAACATATACTTTTTATGAATGCCTTTTCTGTGTCAAGCACGCTTCTAGGTTCCATCAATAAACAAAAGAAAAATGTCTTTGTGGCGCTCTTGCCCTGGGTGGGTTAGGAGGTAGTAAGTGTAGTGGAGGAAAGTAGAGCAGTGGAGTCAATAGTTACCTCCATCTCTGCTACAGTGCCTTTCTCTAAGTTAACATTAGCTCTCGGCTCTGTTGCAGGTCCTGTTAGTATAGACTGCATAGCACTGTCTATCTTGAGACCCTTCGATTATGATTTTATACTTAACACCTATCTTCCCCACTGCACTGTAAGCTCCTTAAGGGCAGCAACAGTACCTTTTTAGGTCCTCACTGTTATATCTTGGGCTAGGAACAGAGGCGTCATTCAGATAATGCTGTAGCCATGGCTGGAACCACCTCATGATGACAAAAGATATTGATCTATAATCCAGCGTGTATCAGTGTTGAAATGCAGTAAACTTCAGAGCACTAGATAGCTCTTAACAGTTAAAGGAACAAACTTAATATTCTTCCCCTAAAATTATCTAGTAATTAGCCTCGCTGTTTTTGTGTTCCAAGAATGTTGTCCAAAGGAGGACATATATTCCTAGATGTGTTGAAGATCTTTTTTTTGGCTGTTCTGTGCACACATATGTTTCCTTTGTAGCATATGCTTCGGAAGCACAGAAGAATCTTAAAGTCTGCACCGATGGAGCCCTCTCTGAACAGAAGGGTCCAGTTTATGAAGCATGTCAGTTTCCTCTTAACTTACTTGAAGCATGCAGTGGGGAGAATGATCCTGAGTTCGGCTACTCCCAAGGACACCCTTGTATTCTTGTGAAAATGAACAGAGTATGTACATATTTTGCTGCTGTTGCTGCTTTTTCTAATACCCTTATTAAGAAACTGGCAAGTATTTTTTAAATGTCTCATTTGGGATAGCTTGTGTAAAGGGCTAACAGTGATATTGATTGACCTTTGGAAAAATTAATACAAAAGGCAAACAAGATTGGTTCACAAGTTAATCATAGTATAGGGAGTAAAACAACTTCTGCTTTTCCCCTTTGGAGAGAGTTGCATGCACGCAGACATAGATGAATGCTTCTAGGGGCAGGTGTTCTGGGTGTCATGCCCAACCATGGTTTTGTTAATGTTCAGTATCATCTTTGAATACTGTGTTGTAAAGCAATTTAAAATCCCATGGGGAATATATGAAGTTTTGACTTAGATTTAGTAGGAAAGCATATTTTTGTAATATACTGTACAATTAAATAATAGAAATACAAATAAAGCTGCATTATAATGAGCTCAGTTGTAGCATTTTGCTATGTTGTGCAGAAGAGGTGCCTGAATTGTATAGCCATCAGCAAATTAAAAGGCTAACGTTCTCTCCCATGTAAGTGATCACACTCTCTGTCATGGTGCAAAGGAAGCTGCGTCCCTTCTGCCATGAAGTGATCCCTAACCCCCGTGCACTGCTGCTCTCTGAACGTTGTGCTGCAGAGTTGTGTTCTGATTCAGTTACCCTGTTGAGGCCCACAAGGTCTCCCCTTGAAAAGTGAGGTAATTCCTGGACATTTACTCAGAGAAAGGGTAGATTCATAAATAGGTGTAGACCCTTCAAGATCCTGAGTTCACATATCACACCCAATAAGCAAATTGCTACCATCCCTAATAAAGGTACAGCTTAGGTCTTCCAGAGTTGGCACTAAGTAAGGAGTTTCCCTGGAGGGAGAGCCAGCTAGATCCTAACACACCCATGCTGACACCCTCCAGCTCCATCCTTCCCCTCCCCCAAAGGACAGTGGTGACAGCGTCTGTTCATCCCACAGCACTCCAGAGGTCATTCTGAAACACTGCCTGACACATAGTAGGCACCAGTAAATGATTGAGGGTGTTCCAGGAAAACTGTGTTAAGAATTAAGGTTAACAAAGTAAGCATAATGCAGTGTCTTCTGTGAGAAATATTTACATTTTATAGGCACATATAAAATGCATATAAATTCAGAATGCCAAAATCCTCACAAAATAGATGAATAAATATCTGTTATCATTCATACAAGAGCTAGTTATGTCAACTACAAACATGCAGGTAGCCTTATTCCATAGAACTGAATGGTGCTGAGAGTCTTAAAATGGGATTATCCCCTGTGTGTGCATTGTGTGGGACAGATGGATGTGGACTCTGGTCAGGCTCCCTGGAAGCATGATCTAAATGGGAGGATTGTGACCTAACATATTTTCATGAAAAAAGGTAATTATATTGTGCCTCTACAATTCTTATCATTTGCATTATTTGCTCATATAAATAATGAAATTTAAAGGTGTCTGTTTGGTTGTTTCTTAATTTAAGGGTAGCAAGTGCAATACTGTGCTTTGGTCAATTCTTTGGTAACTGATGTATTTCCTGACTTGCCCTAGTACAGTAATAAGATAGCCAGTTGGTAAGATTATTATATTGAAAAGTCCATTCTAGCCCTCTAAAATGAAATTAGCATAAAAGGCACAGGTAATGGGTTTTCAATACACAGAATTACTATTAATCTCAACTCTTGCACTCCTGGTTCCTGTGGTAAACATTTGTGATGTTTCAATTAATCACAAATTTTTTTTACCTTAGATAATTGGATTAAAGCCTCAAGGACAACCAAGGATAGAATGCACTGGTAATTCTAAGGTTAGTATTCAAGAAATAACCCAACTTTCGTTAAAGTTCTAGTGTGTCTGAACACTTTAAAAGTCGAATAAATTTTAGTCATCCCCCCTCCCTGTCACATTTTAAAAGTCCTTGTAGTGCCATTCTTAGAAGAATAGAATTTCACCAAGCTTGGTGGGTAGCCCTTCTCTGTGATGAAAGACTTGTTTTTCGTGTGAATTTGATTTCACGTGCATTGCTTTACAGCACCATATTCCACAGTTCATTGATGCTAACTAAGACTCACCTTTTTTCCAGTTTAATAACACTGAAATTGGGGTTGGCTTTACAATCAATGGTGTCTTACCATGTATTTTTTTTTCTTAATAGTACATCAATTGGTGTATATCAGTGACACCTGAGATTTAATGCAACATGGTAGAGGCATTGCTTTTCTCTCCTGTCCTGACTTTGTGTGTGATTGTTTTGGGTTGGTTTGTTTGTTTAAGAGTTCTGTGCAGTTTTCATCTCATAGTTTTTTGTTTTGTTTTCTCTCTATGCTGCAAGTGCAATGAAGACAAATATGTAAATAATGGGTAACAGTTCTGAGGGGAAACTTTTTAAGTTCTAAATTTAATTATATCATTGTGCAAAATATTGACATTCTAACTCCAGTTGTGTCAGAAATATTTTACTTGAAACATTACATTGAAATCATTTCTAAAGTTGCTTATGGAAAAAATAGTAATTCCTGTTAACCATGAATGGAATTGTATTTGGGCAGAAACTTCTTGCTCGGTGGTTCTCAAATTCAATCATCCAGCAGAACTACTTGGAGAGCTTGCTGATTTCCATTCTTGAAGTTTTTGACTCCATTGGTCTGGAGTTAGGCCCAAAATTGACATTTTACCTAAAGCTTCCAGGTGATGCTGCCAGTCTGGGGCCCACACTCGAGAACCTCTGCACTAGAGGACCCTTACTATCTCCTTTTGAGTACAATAAAAAATCGGGAAGCGCATGGTTTCTCGTCTAGGTTGGAGGTATACACATCACCATAGGCAATTCACTTTATCTCTTTATGCCATATTCAGCTCAGCAGGAAACTGGATAAAAAGCCAGAATCTCACTTAACCAGATGCTACATTGAAGCCACGCTTTTCTGATAAACAAGTCCTTCTAAAAATTTACCATCATCTCTCGAGACAAAAGAAAAGCTGTACTTTGTGACTCTTGCAAATCTTTCTAGTAGAAATTCTTGAGGCTGGGTTGCTAGGCTTCAGCCAGGTAGAAGTGCTCATTTCCTGACCGTGTACCTGTGTCTGCAGGACCTGTTGCTTTTGTATGTGAGCAGACAACATAGATAAGCTTGGGATGGTGGTCTATAGAGCCAGCACCACCAAGAAGGGAAAACACACACACATTTAGTCCAGAAGAACAAACTTTATAGAACCCATTCCTAAGGTTTCAGTTTTATGAACCTTTGGCCAATATAAAAAACCTCCATGTACCTCATCCCTTAGGGTTTTAAATGGATTTTTCTCCTTGTTTATCTATTCTGTGTCCTTTGCTTCTAGAAGAGTTTGGGGAAATGTCAATGAAAAATCCTGGTCCAGTGACTCAGATTTCAGATGGTTTTTGTTATGTGTAAAGTACATAAAGTAATCAAAACAGATGGGATTTTTTGCACTGCTTTTTGTAGTTGTGAAATATTTTTGTTTTGAGTAAAAGCACATGGAATTGGAAGAAATGCTGGTAAAATTGCGTTTTACTCCTAGGCTAGTCAGAGAAGCGCAATCAGGAGTCCATACATTTTAGTGTCTCTGTGGGGCAGATGGAAACATTTGCTGCACAAACACTGGTGACAGAACATGCTCTTACAGGTAGTCTTTAACATGTTTGTGTCACTCATTCTTTTGGTATTTTATTTCCTTACAAAAATGAATCATGTTCATTTGAGGAAATTTTTTTAATGCAGAAGAAAAAAATTGGTAACTGCTAACCAGAAATAATCGCTACTTAGAACATTTGATGTGTATTCTTTAAGTAGCTTATGAGTTAGGATTGTATAAAAGAAAATACATTAATTTTAATTTTAAAACTTTATTTTGTTTTCAGTAGAACTTATTGGCTATTAATAAACTCTTGTACTTAGTTACTTACAGTTTCCAATATGGTACCATTTTATATGCTTAGAAAATATGACATGGATGCTTTACCCTAAAATAGCTCATCATCATTCAGATATGCATTTCAATATTTCATCATCTCTAAATGTTTATTTTTACAGAAGGTATAAAATCAAGTTTAAGTAAAAGCCTGCCAACAGTATGATTTAGGTACAGACCAAGAGAACAATTAAGAGTCTGTCACAGGTGGGCAATCTTGAGCCTGTGACCTTAACTCTGACATTAGCTCCCCTCTCCGTAATTGATCCTGCCTCTTTCTTTTTTCTTCCTTTCTTTTTTTTTTTTATTGAATTGGGAGAGCGAGAGAGAGATAGAAACATCAGTGATGAGAGAGAATCATTGAATAGCTGCCTCCTGCATGCTCCACACTGGGGATCAAGCCCACAACCCTGGCATATGCCCTTGACCAGAATCAAACCCAGGACCCTTTAGTCGCAGGCCAACACTCTATCCACTGAGCTAAACCAGCTGGGGCTCCTGCCCTCTTAAGGGTTGTTAGCATCAATAAATGAGGTAAATATCAGCTAAATGTGGCTGGAAATACGTACTGAAGTGCACAATAAACTGTAACCCAAAGGAAACTTTTTATATTTTAGGGACCACCTATGTGTTTCTGTGAATTAGGTTATACAAAGCAGTGCAGAAAAGCACTCATAACCAAACAATAATTTTTTTCTCTGAGATAAAATGCTATTTTAGACTCTTTTTTTTTAATGTTAAGGGAGTACAGATGCTAGGGTGGTGTTGGAATTGCTTCTCTTAGCCTTGTTCTCGCTGCTCTCCCCGCACACCTGCGCTCTGGCTCATAGAACTTGCCCTTCCGGTGGAGCATCGTCACTGCTTTGTGTCATCTTCCCTGGATCACCCCATGCACATGTGTTGCATGACAGTTAATAATTACACTTCATTGTTTCATGTGCTTTCAAAAATAGAAATTACTACTCAAATCTAGAATTGAAGCATTTAGTAAGGTTTTATTTTAATTTGTATTAAGTAAACTTACCACTGATTTTAATAATTGTCTATTTGTTATCTAGTGTGTTAAAATTACAGTCATTAAAATTAGACCTATTTTGGATGTGTTACACGAGGTATTTATAAGTCATTTATTAAGAACTAGTAGCCCGATGCACAAAATTTGTGCACAGGGGTGGAGGAGTGAGGGGTGGGGTCAGACCCCTCAGCCCGACCTGCACCCTCTGTCATGTTCCGGGACCCCGGCTGCTCCAGGCCTAGGCACAGGCCTACAGGCTTGGGGCAGCCTGGCTCCCGAGGCCCCATTTTATCAAGAGAACAAAGTTGGCATTAGTTACAGCCCTCCCCGAACCCAGTACAGTGCATCTGTGCGTACAACTGCCTCGTTCATGTGCATGCTTCGCCCTACTGAATTACTAACATCTTGAGGACATGGCTCTGTCTTATCCTGCTTCACCTTCAGTGCCTGGCCTAGTGCCAGGGACCTGAGAGGGTTTACTGAGTGAGTGAGTGAATGAATGAGCAAGTAAGTGAATGAGCAAGCAGCTACGGGGCAGAAACTTATGCCACGTTGCCATGGCGACATGGCAGAAGTTCCTGCCCCGCTCCCAGCAGCCTGACGCCCACCCCGGGAAGTTCCCACCCTGCTCCCGGTGGCCCAGACCCCTCTCCTGGCTGCTTAGTTCCCACCCCACTCCCAGCGGCCCAGGCCCCCAGCCACTCCTTTAGGAGAGGCCAGAGCAGGCAGGAAGCTTGGCTTCCTCCATCGCGGGGGCAACCAAGCCTCCTGCTTGCTCCAGCTCCATGACTGCTGGCCACCATCTTGGTTGTGTCAATTTGCATATAGTCGCTCTGATTGGCTGGTGGACATGGCTTGGGGCATAGCAAAGGTATGGTCAATTTGCATATTTGTCTTTTATTAGATAGGGTACTGGTCTGGCCAGTGTGGCTCAGTGGTTGACGGTTGACCTATGAACCAGGAAGTCATGGTTTGATTCTCGGTTGGGGCACATGCCCAGGTTTTGGGCTCGATCCCCAGTAGAGGGCATGCAGGAGGCAGCCGATCAATGATTCTCCCTCATCATTGATGTTTCTATCTCTCCCTCTCCCTTTCTCTCTGAAATGAATAAAAATATATTTTAAAAATAAGAATACCAGAGTTAGCTAATAAATAGCATGAATGAGTTGGCTTATATATAGATGGTGATTAGATTTGTATGTTCGTCTGTTTTTTAAATACATGGAATATAATTCCAGTCGACTCAATACTTTTAATTGATATACATGTGCTCATAAATTTATTTAAGGGAAATGTGGTATTTAAATTGGTTAAGTGTGGTTTTTTGCTTGGATTACTTAATGTTTTTCCTAATAGTTTTTGTCATGTCACCATAGTTCCCCCCTCTGGTTACAGTTACCATGGTTATTAATCACCTGAAACTTTGGGACCTGCTGCTTCCCAGGCCTGAGCACTACACTCTGGGTTGTGGCAGCTGTTGCCTTCCAGCTGGAAGCACAGCATTTTATCGTTTCAGGAATGCACTGGTCCTAGATCTATGGTGTGTTCCTGCTGCCAAGTGGCCGAGGCACGAGCAGTTAGGGGTCGGAGGAAAAGTAAGCTTTCACAGACAGTGTGTGGATAGATCTGGCTGTACGTTAGGAGGTACTCATGGGAAAGCATACAGCGCAACCGGAAATGTAAGAAAAGTAAAGACAGTTTATTTCAGGGGGTTTAAATCAAGATGAGTAAGTCTCCTCAAAACTGCACTTGTGATTAATGTCCTTGGAATAGCATTGTAGTTTCCCTATACTGTTCATAACTGATACTGCTGTGTAATAAATACATTTCAAAATTCACTTTTTTTGTGACCTTAAAGAGGGTTTCTTTTGTTTTCAACTATAGGGTGAAAACACAACAACTCTACTAGCTTATCCTCCTGAGGGAAACATAGACTTAAAATATTTTCCATATTATGGGAAAAAACTGCATGTAAGTATTTAGAAGTTCTTAAGTGGGAACAGGCACATCTGCATTAAAATGACACTTGTCTGGGACAGGTAGACCTGTCTTGTGTAACTTGTGCATCATTTGTTCTTGTTTTTAAATACAAGTGGTGATGGCAAATGAAGATTCCTTGTCTACAATTCAAAACAAAAAATTCAAGTAGAAAATACCATTATCACTTTAATTATTTAGGATGTGTTTATTTAGAGAATGTAGAGAAGAATTAGTCAAGAAATAAATAAAGCTTATTACCCAGAGATAACTATGTTGTGGCCTAATTTATTTCATATTTTTTAAGTATATGTTTATAAATCATTTTATAAAATTGGGATCATACTGTATATATACTTAGAAAACTTTTATTTTAAAATGATTTCAAACATAAAGTGGTTAAAATAGTAAAAAGAATTCCCATAGACCTTTTGCCCAGATTTCCCAAATGTTACTATTTTACCTCAGTTGTCTTATCAGTCTCCATTTATATATAATTTTTTTTTCCTGAACCATTTGGGACAAAGTTATAAACATGATGCCACTTTACACTAAATGCTTGAGTGCTATTTCCTAAAAATAATGGCATCATCTTACTAATCATAATCTAGTCATCAAAGGAAGTTACCATTATTAGAGGCTATTGTCCAGTTGCTGGGCCTTGTTGAGATTTCAGCGGTTGTTCCAGTGATGTCCTTCATTGGAAAAGAAAAGTGTTTTCCAGCCCCGGGATATCACACTGTTAACATCTTCAGTCACCTGTGACCTGGAGCACTCCTCAAACCTTGTACGCTTCAAAAACCGGTACAGGCCTCTCTTGGCTTGTTTTGTTTGTGTTGCTCAGTTTGAGCTTGTCTGGTGTTCTTCATGATTAAATGTAGGTTGTACATTTTTGGCAGGTATGCCTCAGAAGAAATGTTACTTCCTTTTAAAAATGTTCCTCAGGAGAGACTTGGTATTGATTAGTCCCATTAATGGTGATAGTAACCTTGAACTCCTGGTTACCAACTGGTGTCGGCCAGGTTTCTCCACTGTAATCAATAAATATTATCTGGGGAGAATACTTGGAGTCTGTAAAATTGTTTCTCTCATAGCCTTAGCATTTGTTGATTCTTGCATAAATCAGTTAATAGAGCTGTTCCCAATGTTTTTCTTTTTTTTTTTTTTAACAAAGTTTTATTTGCTTTTTAGTTATTAAAATCCTCACTTGAGGATAATTTTCCATTGATTTTTAGAGAGAGGGAAAGACAGAGAGAAACATCGATGTGAGAGAGGCATACTGATTGGTTGCCTCCTGCTCATGCCCTGACCAGGGCCCAGGCCAGGGAGGAGCCTGCAGCCGAGGTATATGCCCTTTACCGGAATCAAACCTGGGACCTTTTGATCCACGTGCTGACACTCTAGTCACTGAGCCAAACCAGCTAGGGCCCAAATGTTTTTCTAATTCTATCTCTCCTTTTTCCATTTACTAGTTGGCATTCTACTCTAAGAAAGAACTTTTTCTTCTCTTTTATTATGTGTATCATTATGTTTTCATGGATTCTTATTCAGGGGTTATATATAATCTGTTATAATCACTTACTTGGGTGCTAGACCCAGATTTGGCTGGTGGGAAACATTCAGGCTGGCTTCTATGTCCTTTTGACATGCCCCCAGGATTCTTTGAGCACTTCTTACTTTCCTTTCCTAACCCTGGAATCAGGCCCTAGTGCCTTTCAGTGAAGAATTGTATTTAGAAATCATAATGACAGTACAGCAACTGAGTATATTTGTGCCACATTACACAGGAATCGTAAGTAGGGATACAGGAGACCTAACTAACGTAATGAGTAAGGTGGATCTCTTTTTTTTTTTTTTTTTAATATATTTTATTCATTTTCTACAGAGAGGAAGGGAGAGGGATAGAGAGCTAGAAACATCGATGAGAGAGAAACATCGATCAGCTGCCTCCTGCACATCCCCCACTGGGGATGTGCCCGCAACCAAGGTACATGCCCTTGACCGGAATCGAACCTGGGACCCTTGAGTCCACAGGCCGACGCTCTATCCACTGAGCCAAACCAGCTAGGGCAAGTAAGGTGGATCTTATGCACATTTATCAAACAGAATAATACGGAGGTAATACAATACAAATCCTCAAGCACACCTAGAACAGTCGCAAAATTTATTGTTAAAAAATAGATCCTAGCCCTGGCCAGTGGCGCAGTGATTAGAGCATCACCCTACGCACTGGAGGGTCATGGGTTCAGTTCCCCGTCAAGGGCATTGGTGTCTCACATCAGTGCCCCCACCACTTTCCACTCTCTAAAAACCAGTGGAAAAAATATCCTCAGGTGAGGATTAGCCAAAGAAATTAATAAAAGGGCCCCTCTCAAAAGAGGGAGGGAGTCAACATTTTTATTAAACAACTTGAGTGAAAGGGAAAATTCAAACCAAAATTGTAGGATATCTAAAAAATACTGGCAATGAAGCAATATAATCACAGCCCATGGGATGCTTTTAAAACAGTACTCAGGGAAATTCATAGTCATAAATACTCTTATCAATAAAAATTAAGTGAAAATAAATGAACATCCAGTTTTAAGGGGGAAAAGTAGAGAATGGAAAATAATAGATCTAATTAATAGATTAAAACTTTGGTTTTAAAATTTTACAGAATAAACTTAACTCTTGATGAAGTTATTTTGAATTTGAATTGATATGTTTTCCTTTATTTACCAGGCGAGTTATCTACAGCCATTAGTTGCTGTCCAGCTCAACTATACTGCTAGCAGTACCCCAAAAGAAGTAACAGTCGAGTGCAAGATTGTTGGATCAAAAAACCTGAAAAACTATGATGATCGTGACAAGTTTTTAGGACGAGTTGCTTTCAAAATCACAATGCGTGCATAGTAGGAGTTAGAATATGTCCACAGAGTAAATGTTGTGTTGTTTGTCTTTATTTTGTATCAGCCGGACCTGACATTCTAGAATTATGAGACCACCTGAGAAAGAGGTGGGGTGGTACATGACACTGCGGTAACATTGTAATGTGCTTCCCAATCGTAGTGTTCGGTGTCCTCTGAAGTAACTGCCTGTTGCCTCTGCTGCCTTTGGAACCATTGTACAGTCGTCAGATGGGGACTGTGAACACCTGATTCTGAACATGTGGGTCTTGTCCTATTTTTTTATGTGGTTTAATTGCCAAGTGTCTAAAGCTTAATGTGCTGTGCCATGTAAATATTTTATAGATTTAACACTGGTTAACTGTCATATATTGATGCCAACCAAGTTTTAGAGGTAAAATGGTACCTGACCAGCATGAAGTGACTTTACAGCTGCAAGAAATGTGTGGGGAGAAGTTCTGTGTGTGCGGAGGAAAAAAGAAAATAAAAGCAGATTTGAAAGGTTGTCTTGAGTTTATTGTAAAGTTACTATTAAGAACAACAACTGTTGCCCTAGCCGGTTTGGTTCAGTGAATAGAGTGTCTGCCTGTGGACCTAAAGATCCCAGGTTCGATCCTGGTCAAGGGCACAATTCTGGTTGCAGGCTCCTCCCTGGCCCAGGCCTTTGTCGGGGTGTGTGTAGGAGGGAACCAATTGATTTGTTCTCTCAAATCAGTATTTCTCTCTTTTATTAAAAAAATAACACAAACTGTTCATTATAAAACATGTAAAAAAAAAAAAAAAAGTAGTGATGGAATTATTAGTGCTGGGACTAAATTTCTTATGAAAAGTATTTTAGACCATAGATGAAACAGCATTTTTAGGTTACCCAGTACGAATATGCACCCACTTTTATTAATGGAATTAAATTCCTAAGATTTAAATTGTGAAATATCTTGTTAATACTTTTATTTAGTAGACTGTTGTCTCTAATAAAAAACATAAATTGTGAAGGGAAAAAAAAAACACCAAGATGGCGACATAGGTAATCACCTATACTCGCTGCCTCTCACAACCATATCAAAATTACAACTAAACGGCAGAACAACTACCACCCAGAACCGTGGGAAAGCTGGCTGAGTGGAAGTTCCACAACTGGAGAGGTGAAGAAAGCTCACTGAGACCGGTCAGAGGTGCAGAGGCACTGGAAGTGCTGTTCTTTAAACCGGGAGGTCCATACAAGCTTCTGCTTGCTCTGAACTCCAGTTCCTAGCGAGACTCTGGGGGACCCAGACACACACGGGGAGAAACCGGACTGTCTGGCATCGGGACAGGAACACAAGAGCGGCTTACAGAGGTGCTCACAGCGATCATTGTTCCTGCATGGGTGTGTGGGACACAGAGAACCAGGGACTTTGATTCAGGGCAGCCATTGCTGTTTGCTCCACGCTGGTGATTCCCAGAGACCCCGCGCCACACAAGCTGTGTGCATCGGCTTTTGCATATGAATGGCCTGTCCTTTCGCCTAAAACAAACAGCAGCTGGGTCAGAGAGCCCCAGAGATTCCAAAAGAAGGCCCAAGGCCTGGCAGCAACAGCGGCCTTGCTTCACAGCTGGGCCTTGTCTGGGCACTTCCAAACCCCATACAAAGAGAAAGAATCTGCAGATGCCTCTGTAGCTCCTGCTGGGTGGCCTCAGACAGTGGCTGACCTTGCACCTCTTCAGAGATCCAAGAGCCAGTGTACCCAGTGTTCAGAGTGAGACTATACTGGATTACAACTCCTCACATCCATAAGAGACACACTCAAGGGGCAGACTCAGTGAGCACCAAAGCCCCACGAAAGCAAGTCCTGCCCCATAGGGTGTCTCCTGCGCAACAGATCTTCCAGTGTAGACACAGCTGGTCATCACAGCCAATAGACCTGGAGGTCAAATCCTAGTGATACCAACAGCAATCAAGGGTTAATTACAAAACTGTGCACACAGCCCACAAAGGGGTGCACCAAGAGCGTCCATCTCAGGTGACTGGGAGGCTGAGCCACTGGGCCCAATAGGACACCAACCACATAAGGCCACTCTATCAACTCAAGGAGACTGAACAGCTACCCAGTACATAAAAACAAACACAGGGAAGCAGCAAAAATGCACAAAGAAGTCACAAATGAAAGAAATGGATGAAAGCAAAATACTGAAAATAGAGTTCAAAACAATGGTTATAAGGTTACTCAAGAATCTTCTAGAAACCTCAGAGAAATTTAGTGAGACCCTCAAGGATATGAAAAAGAACCAATCAGAAATTAAGCATACACTGACTGAAATAAAGGATATTATGCAGAGATCCAACAGCAGACAAAAGGATCCCAAGAATCAAGTCAAAGATTTGAAATATGAAGAAGCAAAACATACAACCAGAAAAGCAAAAAGAATTCAAAAATATGAAGATAGTGTAAGGAGCCTCTGGGACAACTTCAAAACATACCAACATCCCAATTATGGTGTGCCAGAAGAAGAGAGAGAGCAAGATATTGAAAACATTTGAAGAAATAATGACAGAAAACTTCCCCTACCTGGTGAAAGAAATAGACTTACAAGTCCAGGAAGCACAGAGAACCCCAAACAAGAGGAATCTAAAGAGGACCACACCAAGCCACATCATAATTAAAATGCCAAGAGAAAAAAAAAGTCAGTTACCTACAAGGGAGTACCCATACAACTGTCAGCTGATTTCTCAACAGAAATGCAGGCCAGAAGGGAGTGGCAAGAAATATACAAAATGATGAATAGCAAGAACCTACAACCAAGATTACTTTACCCAGCAAAGCTATCATTCAGAATTGAAGGTCAGATAAAGAGCTTCACAGACAAGAAAAACTAAAAAAGTTCACCACCACCAAACCAGTATTATATGAAATGCTGAAAGGTATTCTTTAAGAAGAGGAAGAAAAAGGTAAAGATAAAAATTATGAACAACAAAGTGACAACAAATACACATCTATCAACAAGTGAGTCTAAAAATCAAGTGAATAAAAAATCTGAAGAATGGAATAAACTGGTGAAATAATAGAATCGGGCATAGAAAGGGAGTGGACTGACAATTCTCGGGGGTGGGGGAAGAGATTGGACAAAAATCTTAAACCTATGGACGAGGACAATGGGGGTGGGATAAGGGCATGGGGTAGGTGGAAACCTGGTGGAGGGAAGCTATGGGGGGAGGGGGGAGAGGAACACTGTAATAATCTGAACAATAAAGATTTATTCAAGAAAACCCCACATAAATGGTGAAATATAAAACATGAAACTTACTCAAAACTTCCAACCACCCCTTCCCCGGGGCCCCAGGGTGACATTGCACCTCGCCCCTTACGGGTCAGGTCGCCACCCCACGTGGACTCTGGCGGGCGTGCTCCTCCCATTTGCCTCTCTTGGCCAGGCCTCCACCCTGCCCCCAGCTGACCAGCAATAGGGGCCGCAGTGTTTTTCGGGTGCACTTTTGTCGCTTTCGGCCTGGACTTTGCACTCTTGATCACTGTGCCTGGGGACCCACTTCGTGTCATCATCCTGGTCGCAGGGGCATTTTTCTGGCAGGTCTCTCTGCTCCTGGTCTCTGTGGTCTGGTTCATCTTGGTCCATGTGACCAACCCGTCAGATGCCCAGCTCCAGTATGGCCTCCTGATTTTTGGTGCTGTGGTCTCTGTCCTTCTACAGGAGATGTTCTGCTTTGCCTACTACAAGCTGCTTAAGAAGGCAGATGAGGGGTTAGCATTGCTGAGTGAGGATGGAAGATCACCCTTCTCCATCCACCAGATGGCCTATGCGTCTGGTCTTTCTTTCAGTATCATCAGTGGTGTCTTCTCTGTTATCAATATTTTGGCCGATGCACTTCGGCCAGGTGTGGTTGGGATCCATGGAGATTCACCCTATTACTTCTTGGCATCGCTCTCCTGACAGCAGCCATCATCCTGCTTCATACCTTCTGGAGAGTTGTGTTCTTTGATGCCTGTGAGAGGAGACGGTACTGGACTTTGGGCCTGGGGGTTGGAAGTCATCTACTGACATTCCTGAACCCATGGTACGAGGCCAGCCTGCTGCCCATCTATGCAGTCACTGTTTCCATGGGGCTCTGGGCCTTTATTACAGCTGGAGCGTCCCTCCAAAGTATCCAGCGCAGCCTCTCGTGCCGACAGCAGAAGGACAGTCAGGTGACGGTGTATTCTGCCCTGCACATCCCACCCGATGATTGAGGGAACCTTGGGGGGGAACCCCTGTGCCTGGGGTGATCCCCTGATCTCACTCTGTATTTTTCCATCTGCTGTTCTGGACAGTGCAGGTGGCCAAGAAAAGGGGCCTAGCTTAGCCATTGCCATGAAGGTGACATTAATGGTGGTGCAAGGTTAGATGAGCTCTGAGTTTTCCCCGCCCCAGACTGGACTTCTTGGTCTTTTTCTCATGTCTGAGGGGAACCATTTTTGGAGTGATAAAGACCCAAAACTGCCTTTTCTTTCCTTTTTTTTTTTTTTGAGAAGGAAAAGGGAGAAGGTATGTTGGACTTCTCCTAACCTCCTCAAATTGTTCCTTTTAGCTGGGCTCATATCTGTCCCCTATTCTCCATGGTCCCAGGCCTTGGGGGATAGGAAGGACATGCATGTTTGGGAACTGGTCTTACTGGAACTAATGTTTTAACCTCCTTGGCCACCAGCATCCCTCCTCTCCCCAAGGTGAAGTGGAGGGTGCTGTGGTGAGCTGGCCCCTCTGGAGCTACAGTGCCACTGAAGGAGCCAGCCTACCATGACATCGTAGGGAAGGAGGGAAGATTTTTTTTCTAGTTTTTAATTGGGACTGTATGGGGGGGGGGGGGGTCTATAAACTATCATTTTCTGCTGAGGATGGCGTGTCCCATCCTTTTAATCAAGGTGACTGTGATTTTGACTAATAAAAAGGACTTTATAATTGTGAGGGGAAACACTTCCAACAACACAGTAGAGTTCTATTTCAGCATTCTTTGATTGGTGTCATTGAAATTTTCCCTCCTCCTCAAGCCTTTGTCACAATATGAGGGACTTTCTCCTTTACTGAAAAAGGCGTGCTTTTTCTTTAAGCCTATTTTTTATTTTCTGCTTAAAAAGCAAAACGGATATTTTCGAGGTTTTCTTTGTGTTGATGCGACTCAGGAGAAGGGGGCCCCGCTGGCTGGCTCGGGGATGGCTGTCTGGGAAAAACGCGAGTGCTCTGGGCCGCGCCTGGCCTGTGGGCCTGGGTCCCGAGGCGAGGTGCCTCCGCGCTGGGCAGTGGCCCTCGGCCCCATCCGGAGCTCTGTCACTCAGACCTCAGTGACAGCAGATTGTCACTTTCGACGTCTGAGCAACTGAAGACAGACAAGAGTATCCAAAGTGGGGGAATGTTGGGTTTTGGAGGGGAAAATGGGAATGCACCTAATCACTGAATCATAGTAGTGCCTGCGTGGTTCCGCCGTGGCTCAGACTGCTGTCTGACCGTGGTTGACCAACCCAACTCTTCCTGTTTGTTTTC